ATTGCGAATTAAATTGCATTTTTTTTTCATTTCGGAAACCTTTCTTATTTTGTCTTCTGCGGATCATAGGTGGTTCCTGGTTGAGAACCACTGGTTTAAAGCAAACCCGTTATACGTTAAGCAATCCAACCGGTTGGTTATCGAAGGAATGAAACCGTATAAAATGACTGGAAGGGACTAATTATGTTTGTGACGTTATTGTAAAATGGAAAAGATAGTTGTTTTGTTCATACCCCTAGTTTGTATTGGTATGTTTTATTAATGAGTGTGTAGGTGTACGTATACTAAGTTTATTTTTGTATATTATTTATTGATGTTTCTATTTTGGTTGGCTTGATGATCAAGTGATTGCAAGTGTACTATATTGTAAAGAATATCGTGAATTTCCAAGTCAGACAAAATGTGTTTTGCTTTTGAATTTTCGAAAATATTTGTAGGCTTGTCGATCATATCGTTTCTTCCCATATAACATGGGACTTATAATATGAAGTAAGAAGTTCTTATTCTAATACTGTTCATACATTTTAACTGTTAGTACGTACCTACAAAACTTTACTGTCACAAAATACCTACTTAAACCTATAGTTAATTTTGATTGATAGTTAAGTAGTTTGTTTCTTTTGAACTATACAATAACTAGTCAGTGTAGCTACATGACAGGTTCTATGTAGAGGTTAAATGTTAACTACTGTACTTACTGACAATTATACTTTTAAATGTATTTATTTAACCTTGAAAGATTAATGGTTCCTTATATTTTATAGTTGTTTCAAATATTTTATATGATTATTATAATATGTTTGTATTTATATTATATTATAATCCGTAGAAATTATAATAAACGTGAATTTACCTGCATTAGATATATTCTGCAGATTTTTGCATAGTTTTCAATTAAATAACAGACAGTAGGTTTTTTGAAGAAGATTTAAGTAATTTTGAACACATGGCCGAAAGAAAAGAAAGGCGATCGCTCTCACACGGCGAAACACAACGCAAGCGTTGTTTCACGCCGGTTTTCTTTGAGGTCGTGGTATCACGCTGGTTGAACCAGCGCATTTGTACCACGTATTTATCTTTTATCCTGTGTGGTCATGGATGGATACATAAAGTGTCAATTTCATTTCGTATGCATAATACCTTTAAAAATAGTATTTTTTATCGAATTTTCAATCGTATTCGAATTGAATTTAATGGAAAATTTACTATTATGCATAAAAGTTTTTATAGTTCAATTGAAGAAACCGGTGTATTTGTAGCTATTGAGTATCTACACATTTATAAGCATTGCTTTTGTGCAGTGGTTTCAGCTGCAGTAGTACACGCGGCCGCACATCAATCTATACAAAACCAGTTTATCCTGGTGTCGCGTCGCATCATCTTTCCGCACAATTAACGCTCTGTTTATACTGGTTATGTAAAGCTAGATGTGTACCTACCAGGATACAAAGTATGCGCTATGTCAGGCTGTCTATCTGGAGGATATAAATATAGCCTATGGTGGCGAGAAAGAAGGACAAATAACATAGTAATCCATTAAGTTATAATACGTACTATATTATTAGGTAGTCAAAAATTATATTATTAGTACTGTGAAATATTTTAAAACACCCAATAACAACCGCTCAAAATCAGTATGCACAAAAAATGTTACTTCAAAAAATATTTGGTAATGAAAAAAATTTGTGATATAATAAAAAACGTAGAAAAATATAATAATTAATTAATTGGTCATGTTCTTTTAGTAACACAAATAGACTGTAAAGTATGTATTCCGCATCAAAGAAACCGTATACCTATTACACTTACATTGTATACTGACGTTTCAAGGCAAACAAGCCTTTACGACCTTTGTAAATAAGTAGATATATTAAAGTAATTATAACTTATACATCAATAGAATTCTTATATCTTATATTCCTACTCACTATCTATACATATAATAAAATGAGAGTCATGCTTCGGCACGTATGGGCCGGCTCGACCATAGTGATACTACGACCTCACAGAAAACCGACGTGAAGCAACGCTTGCGTTGTGTTTCGTCGTGTGAGTGTGGTTACCGGAGGCCCAATTACCCTCCCCTTCCCCAATCTCCCCAATCTCTGAATGCCCAACGACCCTCAAACTCCTAATCCCCAAAAAGCCGGTAACGCACTTGTAACGCCTCTGGTGTTCCAGGTGTCCATGGGCGATGCCGATTGCTTACCATCAAGTGATCCGTCCGCACGTTTACCGGCTTATGACATAAAAAAAATACAAGTCAAAACTGTACATTGAATATTTTTTAAAAGAATACTTAGGGCGTGATCTATATATTTTTGTCTTAAACAGTATTTTTGATTTTGTATTTTTGACTCCCCCCCCCCCCCCCCCCCCTTGAAAAAAAACGTGGCTATTCTGCTTGGGCACCTTACGTCATAACAATGATGAAGATAATTCTTTTGCTGACATTTTTATTATTTTTTAAAGTAATTTTAAAGTGTAAATAGTTTTTCGTTCTTTATAATTTGATTGAAAAGGTTCGATTCTCATTGAGAATTGTTTTCTGTGTAATACACACATTGTTATTCTGGCCAGAGCCAGAGAAACATCCACAGATGTCTATGTTAAATACCTTTTATAGCAATTACACATATAAATAGGGGAACTATTAAATAAATAGTAGTATATAACCATTTGCCTTTGCGGTTTTTGACGTCTTTAGTATTTGACTAAAAACATGTATTTTCCTATTGTTATCTCGATTATTATATTGTATAGAATTCTATGTCAAAACTGGTATTTGTTTCCGAACAATTATTATTACTTACTATATTATTAATATATTGTTCTTTCTATGTTAAAATATTATAATTGTTTGCCAACAGTAATTAAATGCCACCTTAAAATAAACTATTAATTTTATCGCATATAAACAAAAGTTTAATTAATATAATAAAACAAAACAATATTTTTTATATACGACTCACTTAAAAATATTCCGGCCTTTTATAATCACGATTGAGATAATATAATGATGTAGGTATTTTAATTACCCTGTTTATATATAGGTAATTATAATTCTTGACATCTAGGTAACCTCAAGGACTTTGGAATAATTATTGTATAACACCGGTAAACATTTTAAATTTACCGGCAATAATAAGGCCATTGAATTTCATAGAATTTTAAGTATTTAAGTGATTCAAATTGAATTAAAATTTCTTATCACGGTTCTCTACAAGAATTTAATGACAATTTTATAATAATTTATTACATAATTACTATCAATTAAAAACAGGTAATTATTATTACAAGTATAATAAAACACGCAATCACTTCACTCGCTATTTACACAAATGCTATGACAAATTACTAGTGAATGTAATAGTCCATTATGGAATCGTATCGAATCTATTGTAGATTGCACTGAACAATCCAACGTATTGTTGTCACACAATGCCTGAGACCACCGTTAGACACTATCTTCTCAAAAACCGGAAAGCAAATGTTGTTATCGGTTTTGCAAACTGCTCACACCTGTCAAATGTCCCCTTACCACGTGCTCCGGAAACGCACGAGCGCGCGCGAAGTTGAACGAACGCAGACACAAATAGTTTCAAACTTGTCAGCTATGCTGTACTTCGCACCGGTTAGCACCCTTTACACAACACGATTTTTCTTTTTCAGCAACACGACGCTCACCGTATACGTTTGCATAAACATTAATCTCTTAAAACAATGCCCCATAAAAACATCACGAGAAATACTACAAACGCCTTCACTTCTTCTTTTTTCCCGTTATTTTCTTTAAAAAACTACCGAGAAAACTTACCCGGGCAACTATTAAATTAAATAATTTTATTACAATTATGTTCCGACATAAATAATTTCGTAGTTTATTGAGGAAGTCGTGATTATTTGTTCCGTACCTGTTCCCCACCAATATCGCTTCCAGCCGTCTGTCACCGCGCGGAACATGGCGCTACGTGCGACGCCGTCTACGCGTGGCGGCCAACTGACTCACATACCAGCGAAACTCCGTTGAGAGTGAATAAAAACGTTCGAAATTCATAATCCGAAATCGATTCTTTATCACCATGATTTAGGAATTAATCAAACTTTATTCATTTAGATACAATTGAAAAGTTCTTTTTAAGGGGTTCGTTTGATGGAGAGGCCGTTTTATGCGAGTAACCGACAAAGGGCTCTCCGTCGCTCCCTGATTCAATTAATCTCTAATTAGAGACGAGAGTGCTCTTAATGTTGAGTAGAGACGGATTTGACATCGTAACCTGTCACTGAAGTAAATGGAAATCTGACAGCAGGATGGGTTTCAGCGACCCTATAACCGAATTGAGGTCAAATGTGTCAATGTAGCTATGGCAGGCTCACAGGTATATGACTACATAATACCGTTTTCTCGTGGGATCTTACGCATTTAACTTACTTTGCTAATAGTTTTGTGTAATTAAGATAGTTAAGTTATTCTTCAGTATTCTATGTAATAAAATAATGTAAGTAAAAGTGTATTTGTCTAACAACTAATATTATAAATCGGAAAGTGAGTTTGTTTGTTTGTTCCACTTTCGCGCCGTAACTACTAAACCGATTGCTTTGAATTTTTGCAGACGTGAAGTTAGAAGTCTGGATTAAATAATAGGGTACTTTTTATCGCGATAAATTTTGATATTCTCGAGGGAAAACGAAATTTTTGGTATAGATGGCGCTGTGTGTATTGGTATATGTCACCCTACTTTTTATCCTTTTGTGACGCGAGCAAAGCCGTGGGTAAAAGCTAGTGGTAAAATAAGTAAAGAAACAATAAGCTATATTTATTTATTGTATGGGTATACAATGGCGGACTTAATGCCTAGTGGCATTCTCTTTAAATTACTGAAAAGAAAAGCAGTTTTATAAAATAATATTGTAATGCCCTAATTTAAAATAGTAAAAATATCATTGATTATAAGGACAAAAATTATAAAAAGTAGAAGTTGAAGCCTTCAGCTTCTAATTTAATACATGCTGTAAAGTCCTCTTCCAAATGGTGCTTGATGATTCGTTGTTAAGTAATAATTTCCCCGGGCACTGGAAAAAAATCACTATTTAAGCAAGTATCGGAAAGCCATGTTTCGATACGAATGGGTCCGCTCTAACGGGTGATACCACAGCCTAAAAGAAAACCGACGTGAAACAACCGTGAGGTTACCGGAGGCCCAATTAATAACCCCCCTTCTCCACCCCAATCCCTAAATCCCCAACAATCTTCAAATTCCTAATTCCCAAAAGGCCCGTAACGTACTCGTAACGCCTCTGGTGTTACAGGTGTCTATGGGCGACGCCGATTGCACACCATCAGGTCATCCATCTCTTCGTTTACTGGCCCAAAATAGAAATAGAGTCTACCGAAACTACAACGGACTTATTGAAACAAAACTATAAACTCTTAGATGAAAGTTTGACTTCTTTCGTAATGTCAAAACGAAAATATTCCTTCAGTTTTGTAGGACGCTACGCCACTACATATAAAGCTGTATATTTTTTATACCTATTATATTTTTTTATTATTTAGATTGCATTCTAAAGTACCTAATTATGTTTATCATCATTATTTTGTGCTTAATTTGTCACTGGTTTTATTTAATAAAAAATACAATTATTAAATGGTGTGTAAAACTGTATCGTACCTACTCAGATGGAGATTGGGTTCAGTAATTAATAACTGACCTTGAGTCTTGCGGTTAGTTTTTAACATCCTACACCCAGTGTTGAAAATATAACACTCCTTGATAATAACGCCACGTTGTAAGAATGCTGGATATTTTTTTTTTTGAAAAAAACATTGCCCCACACTAGGATTATCTCCTGTGTCGTGGGTGCGTTTACAAACATACAAGTTTAGAATACACATGACACCCAGACCCGAAACAACAATTTGTGGATCACACAAAGTGTTGTTCCGTGCGGGAATCGAACCCGCGACACGTTGCACGGCAGCCGGTTCCCCAGCCACCGCACCAACCGTGCAGTCAATATCGATATACACATATTAAAATAAAGGTACTATAGCAGATGCATTTGTTCATTCGCAACGCCAAAAAGCGCCCGAGCAAATGCGATGCGGATTAACTCTTAACTCACTTTTTATCACAGCCATATCCCATATACATCATTCCCAGAGCACGGTTTTGTTTGAATTGGAAGTTAACATAAGACGAAGCAGGAGAAGCAGGAAAAGCTTCAGGATTTCTCACTGATTCTGCGTAATACTCCCATGATCTACAATGACTGCATAGATCTAGAAAATAGAAAATATACCTACGTGTTAATAGATAATGATAAATGACTGCCTCGTTGGCCGAGTGGTCGCAAGTGCGACTGCCGCGCAAAGGGTCTCGGGTTCGATTCCCGGGTCGGGCAAAGTATTATGGGACTCATAACATAAATAGTTAAAAGTGGGTGTTACATTGTACAGTAGCATAATGTGCACCTCTGCCTACCCCTTCGGGGATAAAAGGCTTGAGGTTATGTTATGTTATGTAATGTACTGTTTGAAAGCAAAGTATGCCACTTGGTAGTTATTTATTTAACCTCTGCCTACCCCTTCGGGGATAAAAGGCGTGGTGTTATGTTATGTTATAATGATAATAGTGAAACGATAAGTTAGGTGTACCTAATGCCAAAAATGATGGTATGGTAATTAATGGTAGATATACGAAACTGCCGGACTCAGTCAGCATAAACACTTACTTGGTTCGGTGAGTGGTATTGGGGCAAATATAGGACATCCAGGTTGTACGCGTCGGCCACCGTTCGGCCAAAAGTCAGCCGTCCCAGTTGGTACCGGTGCACCATAACCACCGGCGTCAGTGTGTATAACATCCACAAACTCTGCATCTCCCGCGTTCACATGTTGTAATAAATAGCTACTTGGATAGAATGACGGGTAAGCGGGATCAAGGACAGTTACTCTGAAAAAATTTTGGTTGTGTTAATTTAGTCTGGTTAAGAGAAATATTTTGTGGCGCCGCTATGCTGTGTCGGGCGGCACGCGGCGCAGTGGTGAAAGCTGCATTTTTTTTTAAAACGGGGCAAATCATCGAATGTCTGCTCCCGCCGGGGTGAGGCGAGAGGGAGTGTCAGACTCTTACTAACTAAAAACCACCCCGTTTCTTCTCCTGCACGTCGAGCCAGAGCCCCGGGCATCATAGCGGCATGGCAGCGTGGCGTGGTGTCAACTTAAATTTATAGAAAAGGTCTACCAATTAAACTGTCTACAAAAACTGTACAGGTGTGAGGTCCACTTTATTGGTAAGGTAGTTGTCCTATGTAAAATACCGACATGCCATATCTGTTAAAATAGACTAAACGTCAACCCTTAAAGTAGTTGGGAAAGACCAAACCTCGATAATATGTAAAACCTGCGTTTTTATAAACTGACGTGGTACCTACCTTTTGACATTTTTGTTGAATCTATTCTTGAGTTCCCTTGCAGTGTACCCTGCCACTTGGGAGCCTAATGAAAAGCCAATGATGTGTAACTTTTCTAAAGGAAGTCCTAAGTCTATCAGTTTATTCAACTGTTCTGCTGCAGCAGGTCCAACCTAAAGGAGACAACATTAAACTCTTAGGTGGCCTAATTTTGACCCAAAAAACAGAATGTCAATTATTAAAATTTTAAAGTTTACCCTTTTGGCGTTCCATACAGCATTGAGGGTATAAGACCCTTGTGCCATTTCCGACCAGTCTAGTAATATAACGTTCGTACCCGGCCTTGCTTGCAAGTAGGCGTTTACGATAACCTGAAGATGGAAAAAGGAACAATCAAAATGAGCTCTTAAAACTATGTAACTAGAGAATTGTATTGTAAACCCGATTGAAAAAGAATAACCTATGGAGTGTCTTGCTCGTTCTTCTCCATAGGAATCTACATCTTGGAATGAGCAACTAGCTTCACTTCTAAATTTTTTGTTGTTGACGTTCAAAAGTGCCTTCCTGGTCTAATTGAAATAAATGATTTTGACTTTGACTTTATTATATTGAGTCGATCTATAACAATTCTATACATATAATAAAACTGTAGAAGTGGAAATTCTGTACATTGAAAACATTTAAAAAATAAATAGGTAGGTGTTACTAGATAGATACTGAACCCAAAACTGTGATCAACGATGAAACTGTATATCGTATGATTGTATTTTAATATCCTAGGCACAACACTGGATTTAGGAATTGGGGAGATTGGGGAAGGGGAGGGTAATTGGGCCTCCGATAACCTTACTCACACGACGAAACACAACGCAAGCATTGCTTCACGTCGGTTTTCTGTAAGGCAGTGGTATCACTCCGGCCGAGCCAGCCCATTCGTGCCGAAGCATGGCTCTCCCACACTAAAAAACCGTGTGCTTTTTTACCATCGTCGTCGTGGTATGAAAAAAAAATAACTGGTAGAATTCTTACCTTTATACTTTCCTGTTCAGGAAGTTCAACATATCCATGAATGTAGAAAACAGTGGGGTTGTTCTGGTTAAAACCCTGGACTTGGAGTAACTGCTGCGACTGACTGAGAGGAATGTCAACATGCTGTTCTGCTGTTTTTCTGTAAAATATAAAAATTGAAAAATCAAACTGATCTCATCACCAGATTCACTTTCATCTCCTATTCTTGTGCAACCATTCATTTTTCAAGAGATATAAAAATATTCTTTGTATTTAACAAAATTTATAGAACTTGAAAATAATATGTTGTGTATATGACTACCAAGTTTTATTAAAATCGGTCAACTAGTTTCCATGATTCGGGTTTGACTTCGTTTCTAATTTTGGGGTAAGTTTTCGGTTATTTTAAAAATCTTTGCCCCTCACTAGGATTTTCTCCTGTGAAGTGGGTGCATTTAAAAATATATAAGTTCCTAGCCCCGGAACAACAATCTGTGGATCACACAAAGAGTTGTTCCGTGTGGGAATCGAAACCGCACCACGTTGCACGCCAGCCAGTTGCCCAGCCACCGCGCCAACCGTGCAGTCAAGTTCGAAGTTTGTATAAAAACCGGCAGAGTATGAGCGCTCTTAATGCAGGTTGAAATGAATTTAAAGGTACAACTTTCACCCGTTACTTGAAAAAACCAGTTTTTACCAGAATTTGTACCAATACACATAATTATACCTAGTTATCGAAATCTTACTTACCCATTATAAAATCTTAGTTTAACATCCTCTATTCTATTTGTTCCGATTTTTCCTGAAAGAAGGTAACGATTTTGTTTAATAGGTATTTTTAAAAAGCCTTAAATTTTTTTTGAGATATCATGTTAGACTGGTTATAGTAACTCTATGGAAAAAATGATGAAAATATCCAAGAGTAATAATAATGCGGGAAGCAGATGGATCAAGATGGATCAAGCATGCATTAAGCAGAAGGAATCGTGAGGAAGTTTCTGTCACTAAAGCTCTAACCACCACCGTCAGCGGGAGTCAAATTCCTGCTACGGGATGGCCGTTTTATTAAAATTCTTAGACATTTAAATCTTTGCTACCTAGTACGACAGATCCACCAAATACAGCAACTATTTCCGATACACAGCACGAAATTAAAAATAAATAAACTATTTCCCTGGGAAACATCGTCACTTGTACTTAGACTCTATTTTAAATAGCAAACTTGTATAAAATAAATATAATTCTAAAAGTAATTTTCGGACTGGTTTAGGACAAAATCGAGCCACAACTAAATGCATTTAATTTTGATTTTCCTTTATGTATTTATGCATTATATAAGAATAGATAGGTATAATAGTATTAATCTAATTTTAGGAACAAATAAAATAATTGAGGAAAATCGATATTGTATGTACCTATATTCAAATAATATTAGTGCATAAAATCGTACCTAAATATACACATAATCTGGTATTTTCCCCCTGGAATTAAAGGGGGATATAAAGGAAAACCGATACAAAATTTAATTAGTAAAATACTAAATATAGGTTTTCACTCGTTGTTCATGAAATGGCCTGACCTGAAGTCTATATCTAGGTATACGTACATATAAAGGTACGAATAGACTACGACACAATGCAGCCAGTGTTTAAATCGAATGTCTCTGTAGGATCACGAGAGTAAGTAATTATTTTTCTTTAAAAAAAACGTTGCCGCACACTAGCATTTTCTCCTGTGTCGTGGGTGCTTTTACAAACATACACAATACGACATCCAGACCGGGAACAACAATCTGTGGATCACACAAAGAGTTATTCCGAGCGGGAATCCAACGAGACGTTGCGCAGCGCTATAAGCTCTGTACAAAAAATTTAAACTTTTTGGCCATTAAGTTAAGTCATTATGATATGAGCTTATGGAATATGGCACCGACTTCTAACCTATAAGTGGGTGGGTAACCTATCAGTACTAATAATAGTTATTTTTTGCTTTTTAGTTGTGACTTTTTGTTTGTTATAAGTTTTTGGTTTTTTGAAGTCAAACGCAGTTTTTATTTTATTATTTTATCATTTTCGGTATAAATCTACATAGATCCGTTTTTTCACTTATAATCTTCATAGATGTAAAGTCCTCATCAATACAAATTAATCAAGCCCAAACACAAGGTAGTTAATATAAACCGCTGAGCAGTTCTCTCGACTGTCTGTCGGCTCCATCATCAGGTTGACTCCAGACCCTTATTAAATTGTAGTGTTTAAAAATCTTAATTGAAAAACGTAATAGACGCATTACTCGCCCCTAAAATTTTCGAAAGTTCCCCTCGGTTTCCCTAGGATCCCATCATCAGATCCTGACCTTATGTAAATGGGACCATTTCGAGAGTACTATACCCTTTCAAACAAAACAAGAATTTTGGAAATCGGTTCACAAATAGCGGAGTAATGCACGATCAAACAATCATCCGAACATAGTACCTCCTCCTTTTTTTGAAGTCGGTAAAAATGAAACCCGTTTCCCGTTATTACGCCATAACTTGAGAACGGCTGGACCGATTTAGCTGATCTTTTTTTGTTGTGTTTGTTATTTTTAGGAGAAGGTTTTTAAGAGGAGGAGGAAGGTTTTTATTCCTGAAAATTCTACGGGAACGGGAGAAAACGGGATTGCGCGTACGAAGTCGCGGGCAGATTTTTTTGTTTCTTTTAAAAAAAAAAACGTTGCCCCACACTAGGATTTACTCCTGTGTCGTGGGTGCGTTTACAAACATACAAGTTCACATACAGATGCTAGTATAGTATCCTTATTAATATTATATATCGGAAAGTGAGTTTGTTTGTTTTGTGAGGCATATATTATACCTATTGTAAGTTCTATCTTGTATTGTCTTTGTACCAATGTAACCATTTATAATATGTTATTCTATCAAATATAGGCCAGTATTATTCGGGCATCCACTGGTTTCATTTCATATAAACACCGCACCTTACATGGCGACCCTGCCAGGATGGTCAACACGCGCGCCGCGAATTTGAGACGTTCGAGTGTACTGTGTACCCACCTAAGTACCGCGAATTATTAGTAACAATGGAGTTAGTGCAGATTTATTGTAATTACGAACTTGACGTGAGAGTACGTATAATCTACGACCATGGGAAAACAACAATCTAAGGAAGAGACCTTCGTTATCCAAAACGCTGCAGGCAGTAACGAGGCGAAAACTGACGAAATTCGTTTTCATATGTCTATAACAAACATTTTCCTGGCGATTATCCTGTTGGTTATACTACTTGGACTGATATACTTCGTGTACCGGCTGTATAGAAGATGCCATGTACGATGGATAACAAATGAGATCAATCGGATCACTATGATGAGGAGATCTTTTCTTCGTCGTCGTTTGCAGTCGGGGGTCAACGAGAACACGGCTAAAACATTTTCAGAAGATATGGTGTGAAACATAAAAGTGTGTAAAAAAAAGTGCCATAAGTGAAAAATAAAAAAAAAAAAGTGCTTAAAAAGTATTGGTGCGGAAAAGTATAAATCGGTTTTAATCGTTTCAATAATCATATGCAAATATTATATCAATCGAGTTGCGTAATATCTTAGTTTTAAAACAATGCAGTGCCTTACCAAATACGGACTGAACGTGAATTGAACTTTGGACTATGGTATTAATTGCGTTTGTTTGCATTCGTACTTAATTATAAAACTTAATACTAATGTTATAATATGAATAGTTAACATGAATAGTTAAGTTAGTATAGTTAGAAATAGTTGTGGTGTTAAGTACCTAATGGATATAATTTTGACATTATATAATGATTTAAAGAAAATAAGAATAAATTTAATAAAGTTAGGACCGAAACGAAGGACAGAGAGAGTATTGGAAAAGAAGGTAATTGAAGTTGATGCTATTTATCAACAGTATGAGACTTGGTTAATTGATTTTAATGATAAAGTTAAGAATAAATATTATAGTAGCCAAGATATTTTATTAATACAGAATCATTGTCGTGAATTTTTAGCTTTATATGAGGATAGTTTATTGTTGTGTCAGAGTGATAAATCAGATTATTTTTCGAAGATGAGTTCATTTGATTTAAAAATTGCCTTGAGCCTTTTACCTGTTATGACAAATGAGGAGTCTAATACGAAGCAATTGATTGATAATATAGTCTATTATAATTCTATTTTAAAAGAAAATTCTTGTAAACAAAACTTAATAAACTTCGTGCTGAAAAGTAGACTTTCTCAAGAAGCTAAGATAAAGTTAAAAGCGAAATATGATACTGTAGACGAGTTAATAAATGATATGAGAAGTGTGTTATTATGTAAGAAAGCTGCAACGGCAATACAAAATAAGTTGCAAAAAATTAAACAAAATGAAAGTTCAATTGCGGATTACGGGAAGGACATTACAGAATTATTTGTAGATCTGACGATTGCGCAAGCCGATGGCAATGATCAATGCTATAATATATTAAAACCAATAAACGAACAAATGGCAATTAAGCAGTTTGCCAGTGGGTTGCGGAATCGTAGATTAAGTACGATTATATCTGCTAGAAATTACAGCTCGCTTAAAGATGCTGTCCAGGCTGCACAAGACGAGGAAGTCACCATAGGTGCACCTTCTGGAGAAGTTATGGGTATGTACAAACAGCCTTATAATAATTTTTATAACAGGAACCATTCAAATAATTATAGAGGTAGAGGCCAGCGTGGAGGTCGCAGTAACTTTTATTCGTACAGAGGACGAGGCCGAGGAGCGCAGCATGGAGCCCACTTTGATTCTCGAGGACAGTGGACTCGAGGAGGAACTACCGGTCGCAAACAATATAGAGGTAAATTTTATAATTCAAACAGAGGAAATCAAGGGATGCGTAAAGAACGCAACGTTAATTTAATGCAAAATTCGGAAACAGCGGGAGAATCAGAAGTAACATCTAATCAGTTTTTTCGTGAATAACGGTGAAAAAGTTATTTTATCTAGTGATAGTAATTGTTACATTTATTTGCATTCGCCATCATATCGTAATAAGAAACATTATTTTTTAGTAGACTCTGGAGCATCGTTGTCAGCATGTACGTATAAACATGCTCTAGAATGTAACATTCCTATCCATAAAGAGACTGTAACAATAAACGGTTTAGGTGGCAAAGTACAAGCAATCGGATACCTATATTTATCATTCTTCTTGAATGATGAAACAATTAGTCAGAAGTTTTATGTTTTTAATAGCTTGCCCATTAAGGGAAGTGGAATATTAGGCCGTGATTTCTTAAGCAAGTTTAAAGCTCAATTAGATTTTCATAAAAATATTTTAACATTACATAATAACATTTCAACTTTTTCTTTGCCTTTGATAAATAAACATAGTGTTACTTTTGACATTCCTGCTAGAAGTGAGTCAATACATTTTGTACATACGAACATCGATGAAGATTGTGTAGTGTCATCAAAAGAATTGAGAGATGGAGTGTTTTTAGCAAGCTCTATAGGTAGTCCTCAAAACGGATTAATACCTATTCGGATATTAAATGTAACTGAAAATGACTTAACACTTACAGAAATAGAGCCTACTATTGAGAAACTTAGTAAGTTTAATGTTTGCGTATTCGAAAAAAAAAAAAAAAACGCTGATAGAGTAAAAAAGTTATTTTCATTAATGAAATTGAAACATTTAAATGATGAGGAACAGAAAACTATTGAAAACATTTGCGCAAAGTATTCAGATATATTCTACCTTCCAGGAGATCAGTTAACTACAACAGATATATATACTCATACTATTTCTGTAAAGCCTAACACAAATCCAGTATTTTCAAAACAATATCGTTTGCCATATTCTCAAAAAGATGAAGTTAAACGCCAAATTAATAAAATGTTAGAAGAAGGTATAATTGAGCCTAGCAAAAGCGATTGGTCAAGTCCGATACTATTAGTACCCAAAAAGTCAGATACAACGGAAGATAAAAAATGGCGATTAGTGGTTGACTATCGGAAGCTGAACAATTGTATAGAGGACGATAAGTTTCCATTACCAGATATCACCGAAATTTTAGAATCATTGACGGGTAGTATTTATTTTACGCATTTAGATTTACATCAGGGTTATTACAATGTAAAGTTAGATGAAAATAGCAGAAAATTCACAGCTTTTTATTCAGGACAATACCAGATGACG